AGTTATAAATATGATTAATTCTCCCATTTGTTGAAAGTATTTTATTTAGATATTCATATTCACGTTCTAAACTAACATCCTTTCAATGTCGGAAACAAATTATGACTATTTTCCAATCAATAATATTTTTGATTTCTTTATTAGCAGTATCCTCCCTTTTTTGGCAGCATGGAACTACTCTTTATACAAAGGAGGAAAAGCGGTACGGATCAGAACTTTTATTAACTTGGTTGAAGTTAATTTGGTTAAATACGCAATACCTTTTGGTTGTTGCTATGTCAACAAAGAAATTTCGTTATACCATCCAATGTCCTATACCTTTTTGGCATTGATGATATTAGATGCTCTAATGATAATATATTGGATAATTATAAATTTGTATGTAGAGGAATTAGTATCGATTTTCCATATTGATCGTATTAAAATTTTTGAAAATTCCTTTTTTAAGTGTCTTCATCTTTTTTACTTCTTTGTCAAAATTGTTTTTCCTACTTATATACAAATGTTTGTTGTTTTTATTTTAACTATTTATTATTTTTATCAAAGACTTACTATGTTTGAACATGCTTTAGTATTTTATTTAACGATGCTATTAATTATTAGTATTCTGAGTTTTTTTGTTCGGAATAATACTGATAGCTATTTTGCTATAACTTTCTTCAATTTTTTATTTATTTCGTTACATATTGTGCTGTTTATTTCACCAAACGATTATTTTACCAAAGCAGAGATCGGAATATGTTTGCTTTATTTAACTAATATGTTCAAACTTGACGGCACTTTATGTTTTGATAAAAAGCAAAGTGATGAGCTTGATCAACATCTACCGATCATGTTTGGACATTATCAGTCTATACGATGGTTACTTTTTTGGATCTATTATTCACTACATAAAGATGATAAAAAGAATCGGATCGAAACGGCTAAAGGCCTTAATTTTGAGGATTTTACGAACGAATACTCAAGGTGGTGGTTTGTTCGTGAATTATGGGATTATAAATATGTTGGAGATGTTCAAAATCTTAACAAAAATTTATATAACGCTATAATAGAGTATGAATCGATTTAGTTTTTGAGATTTTACTATATGATTTAAATTTTCTGGTTATATTATTTTCATTGTGTAAATTTAATGCTTTAGTCAAAAAAAATAAATAAAAAACTTCATGAAGTTATAAATTTTTTGTAATTTAAAAACTAAACGCACAATTCTTTTAAATCCTTTTATATAATCTTATATCAAGAGCTGGCTGTACTAGAAAAATTAAGATGATTAGCGTCCTAGGTTTAGGATAATATCCTGGATAGTCAAAAAATACCTTTAAACTTTAAAAAAATTCTACATCTTTACTAAGCTTTATTATTTGAATCAATGTTATAATATTTTGTATTGTCACTGAAATTTTGTGCCAGGTTCAAATGATTACTGTAATTTAAGAAATTCGTTTTAAAGCGAGTTCGTTATTTAAGGAAGAGTAGAACCCTATTTCATAGATGCCAGCTTTTTTTCTGCCTCCTGCAACTGCATCTTCAGATCCTTAATTTCGCATCGCATTTTCTTATTCGCACTAACCCGCTCCCCGTAATCTTCTTCCACGACTCGCATGAACTTCCCAAAGTTCTTGCAGGTGCTGGGATAGCACCCTAAGTTCGTTCATGACCCGGTGATTATTTTCTTCCTCATGATCACATGTGAACTTCATTATCTGCGACGTATGTAACTGGTAATACTGGGGTGTACTACCATCTGGCCAACTTTGAGGCCGTAATGTTTTTTTTCTGACCCATTGTTCTGCGTTTCTTATTTAACGAATTTTCATAAACTTCTAATGTATGGCGTAAATATGAATCAATTCGATCAGACTTTTCGGAAATTAATTAAAATGGGATAGGATTGCGGGAATGTAATAATTTTTATAAAAAATTATTTTATAAAAGAGGTTTAAAAAAATAAATAAGAACCAAAATTTTAAACTTATTTTAGTCAAAATGGTTCAAAAATAAATCATTTAAAATTTGAATTAGCAGGAAATTTTACGGCCAGAATCTTACGTTCCTCTATAGTGAAGTCGAAGACGGATTCAAAGGCCTTTGACATGCTCTTTTAACAAGGCTTCCTGGAAACATTTATTAGATATAGTTTTGCGCAAAAGTTTGCACGCAAGTAAATATGTTCTAATATTATAACATTCTATACCATATTCAGCGCCTTTATTGTGTTTAATCCTACAACGTTTTTGTATCCACTTTCCATCTACGACAGGGTTATATTAAATACCGGTATATATTGATCACGTAAATATAATAGATGCGGATAATATTTTGCACATGCATTATCAGATATTTTAATCCGACAGTGATTTTGGCAAGAATAGCCACGCACAACTCTAAGCATAATTTTCTAATAAAACCATTTGGATTGGAAGCGTCCGACCAAATTTTTAAGTACAAATGCACATCACTGCTCTTGAGTTTCCCTGTTTGAATGATAAGTGAAACTTATCCGTCACCCACTTTCACGTATTAGTTAGTGCATAAACAGCCAAAAAATCACATGATCGCAAAATTTTTGTCGGTTTATGCGGATTGAAGCTTTCTAAATGAGTGTGATATAGACCCATTAGATGCAAAGGTAGACAGATATACAAAAGGTCTCGAAGAAATCACTAACCATCAACAAGGAGAAAGAGCTGAAAGGAGCACAATTGCTTCTCAACGGGTTTAAAAATGCAAGTGAAAATTAATTTTTTATTGAGATTGTACGGTCATCAAGGGTTTTAACTAAGCCACGAAACCAGTACTGGCGAATAAATGACTTTATAGGTTACCATCTGATACAAAAGGTTTCTACTGGACCCACTGGAGCAACAGCTGGCTTTCTAGGCAGGCTGATGTTCTTGTGGGATTGATTTTTTATGCTAGGGTCTGAACTTAAGAAAAGCAAATAAAGTATATACATATATACATATTAGAATCTTCCTATTCCTTTCTACAAAAGGATAAAAAATATTATTAATTCGAGTGATCTATAAAGATTATTTTTCAAATATACTAAAGAATATTTCGTTATAACTTACAGATGATAGAATTCCAATAGTAGATTTAGCAGCGAAATTGGCAAAAGTATTAATTTCATTAATTAAACTTCCAAATGTTGCACTGTCTTGTAATCTTCTATTTAAAAATTGGTAAGTTCCTGTAAAATCTGGTGATGTATCTTGCGTCATATACAATTCTAGATAAAATTATTGAGAAGTCTTTTATTAGAAAAAAATTATTAAAATATTCTAAAAGAAAAATGGAGAATGCATATACCCGTAGATGTATAGATAGCTGCAAGAATTGCTCGTTTAGAATACCAATTCATCTAAAATAAATAATGAATTTATTTAAAAAAAGGAATAAAGAAGGCTCCAATATGATTATAACGTACATCAGCACTTTTGTCGCCCGCGAGATACCACATGTCATCGACTAATTTCGCTAAATGCTCAACTGCCATCGAAACGTTATTTGGTTGTGCCATAATTGCAAGTGCCTTATTATCAGAAAATTGTGAGAATTATGAATTATTAACAATAATATCAATTTTTAATTTATATTATAGTACCTCAGGCCATTTTCTTATATATGGTTTTGTAAGATTAAGTCTGGTTACACACGCAAAACGTATTTTTTGATGTACTTTTAATCTAAAAAAGAATAAATTTAATTTCTCCCTTTTTTAAGAGAGAATTAATTTTCCCCTTACGAACTTACCCATTCATCTTATCAAAAATTTCATGAGACATTTTTCTTCTACAATCTTCTAAAAAATAATCAATTAATTCAGCTCCACCTTTGGGAAATAAACCATGACTAATATTAGGGTATCCCAATGTCTTTGCTCCTTGTGACAGCGCATCAATCGACCATCCATATTGATTAACAAATGGTAAAGAGGCTTTAAGGATTTCTGCCGGTATAGGATTAGGTGGATTAGGTGGCGTGGGCGGTGGTGTGCTTAAGATTACTCATATATTAGTACATTATATTTACAATAGCTTTATATTTAATTGATTATATAAACGTACTGAATTTGTTGATTTTGTTCATTTACAGAATTTACAGAATTTACACTTTCTAAATTTTCCGCTGCGGAAGTAAAATTTTGAATATTTTGTTGTTTACTAAGAACATTTCTCCAAATAATTGGTTGTATAACACGTCCTTGATAAATACAAGATGTCTTTCGCTTAAACATTGATCGAGAAATATTTAAAAAATTAGCCATTTGAAAATTTTTTTTTGTTGATCAAATTAAAATTTATTTTATGTATTACGTTAGGCTAAATTGAGATGTTCATGTGATTGAACCATTAACGCACAAAATCAGTAAGTCTGATCTTACAAATTATCAATACTACTTTTCTGTAAATAATCACAATTATTCATTTGGCATATATATCTGCACATTTTATTTTTTATATTTTATTATTTTTTCTTTTTCTTTTTTTTTTGACTTCTTATTCGTCGACCTTCATAAACGTTATATGTTTATATTATATATAAACGAATATTATATTTGTTTATTTTTTTAGATACTTTTTTTTGTTATTAAAAAACTTATAAAAAATGTCGCAGGCCAGGAAAAAAAAGGTCAGCAAAGTGTATTTTACTTATTTATTAAAAACTTGAGTTTATAAACATGTTTTACTATTATTTATTTATACATTTTATTATTCGTAAATTTCTTTTCAATTATTTAAAATACAAAAACTTATTGATTAATGATAACAAAGTCAAATGAAGCTTTTGAAGAAATAAATACTTCACTGACGATATCTGACTTATCAAAGTATTATCAATTTAATTGTGATAAGTTGATAAAACTCACATCAGATCAAGATTATAAAAGACAAAAATTACAAGAATCTTCTAACAAAAAAAAATATGTACCTAAAATGGATGATTCAACGTTACGTGAAGCTTTAAGACATCGTGGAGCAGAATTTGAATCAGATATTAAAGATAAATTGAGTAATGTGGTAGACTGTCGAGACGTATCGCCTGATGAGGCTAAAAATATATTAAGAAAAGTCGAAGTTGGTCAAACTTTGTATCAAATGAAATTTATAGTACCTGAGGAATTTTATGAAGAAATGGGTATAAAAAATGTTGTTAAGTTAAAAGCTTTCGTACCTGATTTTATTGAAGTTAGAGAAGAAGATGGGGAGAAAAAATTGATGGTTTATGACGCAAAGGCTTCAAAATCTGCGCGAGTTCCACACCAGGTATAGAATGTGATTTATTTATTATAAATGATAACTGTAATTTCATTAACACGTTTTATTTAATTATTTAGTTTCAAGTGGCTTCATATGCATACCTTCTCGATTTTATAGTTCAAAAGATTCGTGGACTTGCTATTTCGCGTACAGGTGGAATTTATTTACCGCCTTTCCAACTACAAACATTTCGTATGGACTTTTTACTTCCAAAAATAGATAGATTCTTTCGCGAGGATTTACCTAATATTTTAACTAAAAAAACAGTACCTTGGCATTATAACTCAAGATGTAGAACTTGTGAATTTGTAAATGTTTGTAGAAAAGATGCTGAAGGTTCTATTGCGATGATTCCTTATTTATCGCTTGAGAAAGCTGTGGATTTGAAAACTTTTATACGAGATTGGAAATCAGGTGAAGATAATGTTGATATCGAAGATTTGTCAAATTATTTTGATGAATTAAATATTGAGGATGAGAATGCGAAATCCAGTGATCAAGCCGTAAACAAGAGAATTAAACATATTGTTAAATATGATAAAAAATTGAAAAGTTCGCCATATTTGAAAGCTATAGAAACTAAACAGGCACAGGTAAAATGATTGTCTATAATTTTCAGATTATATTCTTTACTAACAAATCTTTATTTGTTTAATTTATAAGTTTATTGGGATTGCAACCACAAATTTTCCCCAAACAACAGATCATAACTTATTGATTGCAATGTCTTTGGATCCTTTCTTATCACGTCCTTTCGGATGGGCAATATGCCTTTATTCTAGTGATGGAAAAATTGTACCGAATTTTAGACGCTTTGAATCATCTATGAAGGATGATGAATCTCTACCATCATTCACCTCTCTAATGGATAAGTTCGTAACCGCATTGGAAAAAAGTTTTGAATATTTAGCAAAGGTTAAATCTAGAGCTTGCATCTTTGTCTTCTCTGAACAAGAAAAAAAAGCTCTTCAAGATGCCTTGTTGGAAATTATTTCTATGGATGAGAATTGTATTTCACATGCAACGCAACATACAGCTGTGAGGTGTTTATTTAATTTATTTGAGGATTCATCATTGTTATTAGCTTCAGGAAATAATGATGATGGCAATAATACGGAACTTCCTGACGAATGGCGAGAATTTCCAAGATTGATTGTTTTAGAAAATGCGATAAAAGAAAATATTGCAATTCACGTGCCCGGATTTTACCGCTTTATTGATATATGGGAACAATTGGTGAAGCCAAAATTAAAGGATGAGGAGCTGTTAAATTCGTTAGAACAACACATTGAACTTATCGACTTAGAAGATATTTATGCTACATGGGTTTCTTCACAAAGTTCGACATCAAAAATTAATTCAGCTCATTTACATAGGGTTGATTTTGGAATTGCTGTAATAAAATCTTATTATGAGCTCCTTAAGGAATCAACTGATGATATTGCTTCAAAATTGATATTTACCCCACAAGTTTTTACTTTTACTGAAATTAAAGCTTTTGGACATAATTATCTGGGTAAATTATATTTTTTTAAACAATTTGAAGCTATAACTGAATGTGCTCAAATCAGATCCAGTAGAATTAAAGATTTAATACAAGGTGAAGCTGTATATGGAATTCGACTACAATTTGAGAAATTTACTAAAAAGGAAGGTTCGGAATGGGTTGCGAAATTCGTTATTTTAAGTAGCGGTAAAGAAGTTAGTGTATTAGAACCTCGCACTTTTAAAGATTTTATTCTGGTTGAAGATAATCCGGAGGTAACATATAACTTATATATATTATTTTCTATAATTTACATTGAAATTTTGAAAATTTTGGAATTTTTATTTTTTTTTAAAAAAAAAAACTAGGGTGTTCTGAAAGCAATCCTATTTCCAGATATGAGATACCGAGATAAATTTTTCGGGTATCCTTTATCGGTTGTATGTCTTAATGAAGTTGAAAATAAAGATCCACAAAAACGGATAATTCATTTAAAGGGATTCTTCAAAGAGAAGTTTACTGAAAATGCGACTTATCGCCTTTATAAACGTTATATTGACTTTAATCTTGATAAAGTATCAACAATTCTAACCGAGATAGACGAACAAGACGATAAGAAGTCGATATTTATGGTCGGTACCTTTTTCTCCCAAAATGATTATTAAAAAAAAATTCCATGACATTTATTAAATTTTTGAATATAGAATCTCTTGAGTAATCCTAATGCATGGGGTTCTTCCTTAATTGAAGAAGAACGTTTTAGAGAAATGAAAAATACAGCTTTGAAGCTACGAGATTCTTTTTCAATGTCTCCATCACAAAAAGAAATCTCGGCTGAATTGTTGGAAAGAAGACTTCAAATTGTATGGGGACCACCTGTAAGTAATAATTCATATTTTATTTTAGTTATTTTAGTTGCAATTAGGCTATTATTAATACATTTATTTATGTTATATTAGGGTTCTGGTAAAACACATTTCCTTGCGTTGTTTACAACATGGTATTTGAGTACTGTTAAGCATAACCCGACGGGCAACAATAGTAATTATATAATCGGTGTAACGGCTTTTACTAGGGCTGCTATCGAAAATCTATTGGATAGAATTTCAACTGTACAAAAACAACATCATAAGACAAGCGATTTTTCTATCGTTCGTTTAGTTAAAGACTTGAAAAAGAAGCCTTTAAATGGATTAGCAGAATGTAAGGCAGAAAGCTTACCTAAAAAGATTAAAGGGAATAAGATTGGAATTCCCGGAAAACCAATTGTGATTGGAGGTACAGTTTGGGATTGGTTTAAAGTAAGAAAGGAATGGAAATTTGGTTGGGCCGGATGTGATATAATGATAATTGATGAGGGTTCTCAGGTAAGCAAAAAAACTATTAAATATTTTAGTTAAAGAATGTGAACATTAAAATATTCTTTTTTTAATTTTTTAGTTATTAGTTTCGGATGCTAGCATTGCTATTGAATGTATAAATCCGGATACAGGGAAACTCATTGTCGCCGGAGATCATATGGTAATATATAAAAATTATTTAATTAATTTAAATTTATATCGAATTCTAATGAATTAATAATAATATAGCAACTTGGGCCGATTATTCAAAATACATATCCCATATTTCCGCCTGATCATCCTCTCATATTTGGATCTATTCAACAATGTTTAATGCGTAAAGGAAATGGATCTGTTTTTAGCGAGGAAGACTTCTTTTTGAAAAGAGGGCAGAAACATGACTTTGGACCTCTTACTCTTCAACTCAGAGACAATTGGAGAATGGTCTGTATATAAATAATAAATATTATTTATTATATTTATAATTATTATTTTATGCGATAAGTAATGTCATTTTCACCTCCTTTGTTTTGATGTCCAGAATGAAGAATTGAATGGGTTTTTCCAAAAGATTTATGGTGATGATTATATTTCAACACATCCAAATCTGAAGCTCACTTTCGATGATTCAAAATTAATTCATATTAAGGATCCATTAATTCGAAAGATTTTATCACCAGATTCGGCAATTACATTAGTAAAACTTTCTCTAGATAAAAATATAGAATTAGAAGAGGATCCTAGAATATTATCATCTGGTTTATTATCTGATCAATTTTTACAAGCTGAAGCTGATGTTGTAGCAAAAATAACTTCAGCATATTTTGATACACCAAAAACAATACAAGGGATGAAGAAACCATCATTATTTATAGTAACACCACATCATCGACAACGTCATGCGATTCAATCGCGTCTAGTAAAATATTTAAATGATCAAGATATTAATTTACAAATTAATACGGTAGAAAAAATGCAAGGACAAGAAGCAGACCTTGTTATATCATGTTTTGGATTTTTAGATTTAAATGAAATTTCTCGAGAATCAGAATTTTTATTTGATAGAAATAGATGGAATGTAGCTATAAGTAGAGCAAGATGTAAAGTAATAGTTATTACTACTGATGAAATGTTATATCCTAAAAGTATAGAAATTTTTGCTAATAAGAAAACCAGTGAGGGATGGGTATTTCTTAGTATGGTAGAAAAATGGGTACGAGATAAAGATAATGAAAAATTTAATGGAAGGAAAAGAACTAAGAATAAAAATATTATCGAATGGGTTGTTGGAGGTGAACATTTATTTAATGATAGCGATTCTGCTACTATTTCTAGTCAAGGAAGTAAGGAAAGTCAAGAAAGTCAAGAGAATTTAGGGAGTCAAGGGAGTAAAAGAAGTAAGGGAAGTAAAGTAAAAAAGGTTTCTAGTTAAGTAAGTAATGATGATTATATTAAATGATATTCAATAATATTCTGTCAATAATTCTTTTATAAATAAAAATTTTATAGCCTTTAATTACTTTTATTTACGTATATCGTATATAATTAATAGTGTTATACTAGTATCATCTACTTGTTATCTAGCTTTATTTCATGGTATCGGGACATTTCGCCGAAAGCCATTTCGCCGAAAAATAATCTCTGGCCTAAGTTATTTATAATTTTGCATATTGTTGGCCCTATTTTTCGGCGAAACGTCCTTTCGGCGAAATGTACCGTAACCAAATTTTCGTCTCACTACCGCTTGTTGAGAATGATTGAAAATTCAAGAGGATTTCATATCTGTAACCCCTGTGATAAAGCATTAAATTTAAAACCTCTTGAATTTTCAATCATTCTCAACAAGCGGTAGTGAGACGAAAATTTACCTGAAAATTATCCTCTCCAAATCCCGGATGATTAATAGTCCGAAATTATTTATTACCTCCTTTATCATAATAAATAAGGAGATGTAAGAATTTAAGAATGGTGATAAGAATATAAAAGGTAGAATTTTGATACACAATGATATGGTAATAGAAAAAGGACCAAATAATCAAATAGTGATGGTGAATCAATTAGTAATGCTAATATTTGTTAACCAGTAAAACAAACTTTACATAAGATTTTTAATGGTTAAAAACCAATGAATATTTGTTTAACACGATTAGTAATATTAATAATGGAATATTTTTGACAATCATTTTTTCATATACCCGTAGATCTCCATATCACACAACGAATTAAATTATTAGAGTTTAGTTTTCATAATTAAATCTGCTTTCTGATATTAATAAATTAAGCGATCATATTAATAAAACTGTAAATTAAAAATCCAATAAAAGTTTTCCCTTTTTTTATGAATATCTTCCTTATGCCTATCAGTCCTTTAACCAACAAATAACATAAAGATTATATTCTATCCATTTAAGAATCACAGAATGAACTTTGAAAAGTAAAACTATGCTTTTATTGGTTTCATAATAAATAATAATAATATTTTATTTGTTATCATACTTATTATACTGGAAATTCCTAAGTAATCTTTTAAGTTAGTAAATTTTTTGTCATAAAATTCTAGAATTACCTAATTTAGTAGCTCCGAATAATTTATAAATAAATAATCAGCGGTTCTTACTAAATACAGTATATATATTATTAAATGCATCGCTCAAATAAAATTTATTTATTAAAGAGTAATAATTTTACTATCATCTATACAATATGTATGATATAATGATAATATTAATTTTCATTGACGCGATAACGCGATTTCACGACAGGTCATTTGCCCGACAGGTTTGTGCAAAGTTATACACGAACACGTGATCAAGTGCGGCCGTCGGGAAAAATGTCCGGCTTTAGGGTTCAAAAACAAATATAGTGAATTTTTAATAAGCTGATGTTGAGCATAAGTTTTGTTTTTCAATTTCATAAGCTTTTGATAATAATTTTATTAACATTTACGCAATCATTTCAAAGTCACTTATTTTTTTTTACACTTATTAATTTTAATTCTTACATTCTATCAAAATTTTTTTATAAAAAATTAAATTTATATTACTTTATAATAAGAAAATATTGAATATAAATAAAGACATATTACAGAATATTACTACTTATTCAAATAAAAATACTCATAATTATTTGTGATACCTAAGCAACACTCAGATACACTCAGATATTCATTACTCGACTCACAAAATAAATATACAACAAATATATCTTTATAATAAGCATAAAATATCAGGAATATCTAATAAAGATCTTTAAAATATTACCATTGGTCTTTAAAAGTATAATGCATAATAATAGTTTCGAAAGCTGAAATACAAAGAAACTTGTATACTGTATATCGTAAGACTTTAGTCATAATATAGAATAGATAATTTAACTTTATATTAAAATAGCATATATTTTAAGAGGACTACACCAGTAAAGTTTCTTTTTCAGAAATTCAATACATATGCTTACTAAAAATATATTTAAAGTTTCTGGAAGGGAAATTATAAAAAGCCATTCCCTTAAATTATTGGACCAATTGATCGATTACAGTTTTTGGATTTTATTTTTTTTGGAAAGAGGATTGATTAGCTAAGGCATAAATAACCTATTGTTTTACATGCGGCAAAATACATATTATTAAAAACATCTTTTTTAGAATAGTAATGTTTCAGATATCCCAGGAAATGATATTATTAATGAAAAAAAAAATACTTTAAAACGATTACTTAAAATTTTTTTGTATTTATTTAATAATAGTTACAATATTACTTAATATAATACACTACCCTTACTTAATCTTATGAAACAAAAGAATACAGATTTAATTGTACCCAAAGATCGATGCAAGAAATTAAATGATTTTCACCAATACAAACCCTTCGCCAGACCGATCGGCCCGTGGGCGTCTAAAGCCATGTTCATTCACGACAATCAGATGTCTAGTGTCCAATCATGGCATGTACATCACGTGATCGAACACGGCTCAATATGGAAATTAGCATATTTAGGTTGATCTCCAGATTTTATCGAATTCCGAAATTTAATTATCGGCGTTTCTTATTAACCATAATAGAATGAATGTTTGTAAATTATCCCCTCTCCCCCTCAAATGTTTCATATATTGTATATGTTTGGAAATTTTATCTTACAATATACTTCCACGGATGATTACATAAAAACATGGTTATCACACATGTAAATCAATTAATTATACCAATAGAAATTCGCTCGTGTGAAACATACGAATAAGTATAATTTTGGGTGGGAATTAAAATAGATTTCAAACAGGTAAAATGATAGACATTTCGATCGACTCGAATTTGCTATATATACGCGCGTTTTTGAGAAAGAAAGAAAGTAACTTTGAAAAAAAAACACATATATATATTCATAACCATGAGTTTATTATACACAATCCTTAGTGGTGCTAACCTAAAAGATATTTTCATCACATTATTATCTCTAATTTGTTTATATATAATTCGTTTTTATTATAAACATTTTACTCGTATTAATCCACTTCCTGGTCCAATACCAATCCCATTAATAGGTAGTTTTGAAATTTTTAAAAATGATATCGATGCTTGGTTTTATAAATTAAATAAAAGTTGTGAACATGATGGTGTATTTGAATTAAATATTGCTGGCAATAGACAAATCGTAATTACTCGTGCTGAATATGTTGAAAAATTTTTGGCATCAAATTCATCATCTATAAATCATATTATGAGGACCGCTAATAATGGTCTTTTAGATTTATTTGACCTTGAAAAGAAAGGTGTAGGATTGAACCATGATTATCAACATTGGAAATTTAATCGACATATTTTTTTACAGGCTGTTATGCCATTAAGTTCAACTAATAAACCAAGTCAATATGTGAATTTATTATTCGAAGAAATGTCAAACTATTGGATAGATTTAAAACATAAAAATGATGACTCAGTAGTTATTGATATTTCTACTTGGATGCGTCGATTTACGAGCGATTTTATTTCTTTGTTGACAACAGGACAACAGATGTCTACGATAAATTATTATTATCGTATGATAAAAAATGAAGAAGTTACCAAAGAGATGATTGATTCTGAAAATTTTATTGAAAGTATAAATACTTTTGTATCAGATAATCAAATTTTATTTGTACCAAAAATTTTGAGAAATTTTCCTATTATTAAAAGTCGAGTGGATCATATGTTGGGTAATTGTAATTATTTTTATGGAAAATTGGTAGAAATTGTCAGAAAAAGAAGAGAAGAAATGAAAAATTCTGATGATATAAATAAATTTATTTCAAAAAAAAATGATTTACTTACATCTCTGATTATTGCTAATACACAATATGATCCTCAACCTCAAAAAAATGCTGTTCCATCATTATTAAGACCAATGACTGATGATGAAATACGTGGTGTTATGTTCGATGCATTTGTCGCTGGTACAGATACGGTATGTTTGTTTGTTAAAAAATATACTTACATTTTTATTATATTTATTATAATGTGGTTAACAAATATTTAAATGTTTTTATTTTATAGACGGTAAACACTTTTTGTTTTGCATTATATTACTTATCGCATAATCCAGATGTTAAAAAGAAATTGGTAGAAGAGATTGAATCGGTTTTCCAAGATGATTTTAACAGACCAATCACATTTGATGACCTTGAAAAATTAAAATATTGTGAAGCAGTAATTAAAGAAACATCAAGAGTAAGACCCACAGTTAGCATGGTATCGAGATATAGTAGTAAATCTGATAAAGTAGCAGGATACGAATGGCCATCAAATGTATTATTTATATTGTATGTTCGTGGAATTAATACCAATCCACTTTACTGGAAAGATCCCGAAAAATTCGATCCAGAAAGATTTTATGATCCTCAAGAGATTGAAAATCAACATAAAAATTCATTTTCAATGTTTGGCGGAGGTCCAAGAATGTGTTTAGGTAGAAAGATTGCAATGATTGAAATGAAAACATTATTAGCATTAATTTATAGAAAATTTGATGTTGAATTAGTAGATATGCAAGCACCTCTTCAAGTTGAAACATCAACTATCACCATCTGTAAAGAATTAAACGTTAAACTCACTCCTAGAAAAAGAGTGGTTTAACAGATACTATATTTAAAGTACAATTTAGCATAATAACATAAAATATCATTAAATATCATTATTTCATAATCAATATTAGAATTATAAGTCCATAGGTATGTTTAATAGTTTTATGGTCAGAAACCGTGAAAAATTATTACATAACTACTTTATTTTTCATATAAATATCCAATAAAGTAATTTATATTTATATTCATATTTGGAAAATAATTTTTTGTGTTTGTCGTGAAATATACAATTGATTACAATTAATTTATAACAATCATACAGTCATGATTGTGCATAATAAAAATACCCGGCGGTATTCTTGGAATGCCTCCGTCTCCTACTGTTTTCAAGACCAAGGTGTCATCGCCTCCATTCGTGGTCGCGATTTGGTCGTTAGTGTTAGAATTATTTTCGGCTTTTTTTTTAATTTGTCCCTATAATTTGTACTGCGACTTTGTATAACTTTGTGAAATAAAAATAAAAATAAAATTGCATAATAAAAATATAAGAACACTTAAACTATGGTTAACCTTGGTAATTTTGGGCAATTAAGTCGTCCTTAAAAGTATTTGTTGCTGTAATTAAAATTCAACAATAGCACGCACTATCTAATCCAAATGATAAATTCATGTAGCTCAAGCTGTGAATTAATTTTTAGAATAAATCTTAAGGATACGGTACATTTCGCCGAAAGCCGTTTCGCCGAAGGACGTTTCGCCCAAAAATAGGGCCAACATTATGCAGAATTATAAATAACTCAGGCCAGAGATTATTTTTCGGCGAAATGGCTTTTCGGTGAAATGTCCCGATACCAAAATGGATGAAAAATAAATTAGTATAAGAGATTATTTTTCGGTGAAATGGCTTTCGGCGAAATGTCCCGATACCAAAATGAAAAATAAATTAAAAAGCTTATAAAAAAGGAAATGCGAACATTCATGTGACGGGAATGTGACTTACGTAAATTTGTGTAAATATTATGTAACCTTTTGTAAGTTTTTGTGTGAACTTTGTGTTAAACTTACGTAAATGTCAAATGATTTGCCTGACGCACGTCTGAATTTTTGGCACAGATAAATTACTATAATCATTTGCCGATCATTTCGTCTTTGAAGGCCAATTTATCGATCAATTTTTTTGAAAATATTTTAAATCATGCATTTAATTTTTGGATGTAATGTTGAATTAATTTTTTTGTTTAATTTCAATTCTCTCTTCAACAAATGAGATTCGATTTTGATTCGATTATCGATTCCAATCCCTACTCTTGAACTTTAATGACGAAATGGAGGTCGTAGAAAAAAAAAACATTAGTAAAATGAAAAGAAATAACTTTAAAATGGATTTAGTTCATTGGACTTTAGGGGCTTGGCGGCTTGCATATTCCAATTTGGAAATATGTTTTTTCATGTGAAACACGTTCAATGTTTGAAACGTTCGAAATTTTCGTTTGAGGGATGATCTATTCGAGAGATTGTAGTAAAAAATAATGGTTATCCTTAATCAAATGAGTCATGTGAAAATTTATTTAAAAACTTTAATGATCGTCTATCGATGTGTCATATATGGTTTGGTTTGTAATGCCGACTGATTTATCCATCATTGATGTAGAATATTCCCACCAGTTTATTTGTTACATCAATGAAACTTAATCAGTAATCATTATTTTATTGAAATTTTTTTTCACACAAATAAGCCTTTTTCACGGATAAAGTTTGTACCCGATCCAAGTATTACAGTATTGATTGTTTCTAATTTTGGCAATTGCATATAACTGTAGTACGAAAGTATATGTTCAAAATATTTTTAATTATTAAAAAGAAACGCTCAAATTATTTGTAAAAAATATTATTTGAAGGAACAATATACACTATTTATCGAAAGTTATAATGTAAGTATTCTTACAATTTGTTATACATATTTTTCGGTACAACAAAAAACAAAAAAAAAAAGAGAATTAAAAGATTTAAAAAATATTACAAAAAATGATTTTCTCATCTTGTTCTACATTTATGGCAAATAGATTGATAAAAATTCCTGACTATGGATACAAATCGGGATACTGACCATGGGTACAGTATACGTATTAAAATGTTACATCCGACCAATAAACAGTAGAATGGAACTTTTAGTTCTGTAAAAGGATAAAAAAATAAACTTTTTTTTGTGTCATTATCAGATATTTGATGTACAGCCATATGAAAAAAAAATGTATCTATCGTATGATTAATTTTACAAATTTTTTTATGTTGTGAAATCTCTACGGAAGATGCGGTAATTGTTTTTTATAATTGTTCCGATACCGAGAAATTTTGCCACATTTAACAAGAAATAAAGCTACAGTTACAAAATTGCAATGTTTCTTTTCAAACGTAGATTTAATAAGTTTAATTAAAAAATATTATAATAAGTTTTATATTTTTAAAAAGACATAAATAAAAAAACGGTGGCTTAGTTGTGCCCCTGATGTGGCTTCCTGACAGGCTTGTCAATTCATATGATTGTCAAAATGCAGTGCAGTTCAGGATATGATGGTACAAAAAAAAATCATAACCGATCAGCGACTCATAGCCACGTTATTCTTTTTTAAACTGTATATTATATTACACAATGTTACATCAAATCCAACATCCAACGGGCTGAAAAAATTTTTTTTTGGGGCTGTAATTTATTTAACGAAAAAAAAAATTCATAGAAGTTTCTTTCATTTTTTAAAATAAAAAAAAAAAATCGATTTTTATTTGTTTATTTCAGCCACATCAATTGCGTATCACAAACAAGTGTTTTTGTTGATCGTTTACCTGTTTATGGGATCATGAAATATTTTTCTTTTCAAATATAAAAGGAACCTGGGATCAGGGTATTTGTAACTCTATAAAAAAATCTTTTCTTTTAAATAAACAGAAAGAAAGATTTAAAGAATGAATACCAACGAATTATTTATTCATTTTAAACAAACAATTTCTTTTTTTATTAATAAACTATCAAAAATTAAATTTTATAAACATTCACACCTCAAACACAAAATGTATGAGCCTATGAATTATCAGGCAAAATGTAGACATAGAGGATATAAAGAAATTTTTCGCGAATTATATCTTTTCTGACAAACTTGATATGATCGATCGCGAACGCTCATTTATCGAAAGCAGATTCCTTCAAGGTTTTGTGCATTACTAAATGAGCAATATAGCACAAATCATTCTATGCCGTAGATTACCCTAAAACGGCTAGCGAATTTCCAGATTTTATGGAAGAAACAAATTTAGAAAATTTCGATCAAAGATTATATGAGGAGTTTTTGGATTACGCACGAGGAATAATGATTCAATTCGGAATTAATACTGAAATTGAAGTAAACTATTATTACAAAAGTTGATAAAAAGAAACTTGGAAGCAGTAATTCCAATTAAAAGACATTATAAAAAATTATTCGAACAAGAATTTTTTATCGAAGGATCTATTGTTATTTTACCTGATGCTCGTAGTAGAATGGAGTCTAAAGCTTATGCTTGGTATTATGCATCATATCATCCTTCTGAAATAGATTATGATTCTTTTGAAAATATGATATCATGGATAAAATGTCAACAACCAAAACAGTTATAATGCGTCCATGGAACTAATGGATTTATTAGGACCTTATAACTTAGTTCAAACGGCAATTATAATTTTGATCAAGATCAAAATTTAATTGAATTATGATCGGGGGGACAACTAGTAGTTATTTTGGGAATTTTTTTTTATTTTTTAAATATTTCTCCATTAAAAATATTTTAATAGATTCTTAAAAAGTTTTTTAAATAAATTTTATAAATTTTTCAAATAAATTTCTTAAATATTTTTTTATTTTTTAAATTATAATTAATTATGATCAAGATCAAGATTTATAGCTGACACAGAGAAATTGGAACTTATTATAATAGCTAGTTATTTTGCAATTTTTTTTCAAAAAAAAAAAAAATAAAGAAATTTTTTAAATATTTTATACCTTATCAATTATAAAGTTCGCGATCAATAATTAAACTAATGCCGGCCTCTAACGTAGGGGTAGATGATAATAACTATACGTAGGGTTTTTTGACAACACTAACACGACTAATTATATTCATATAGTATTCATATATTGGTAAAAATCCTCAGGTCATAAAATTCAAACATAACACGATGCAACATACAATTTTAATACAGATAATAATACTCACATGACGACCTAACTGAGTTCATATGATTTAGCAAAAATACTTCTAAAAATAATTGAAAAAAATTTTTTACAAATTTTCTAAAAAATAAATATTAGGAAAACGGTAAGTCCGGAGCGAAAAACTAAAATTTGCATTATAAAGTGAGAAATACCCACGGGTAAAATTCAATTTTTAAATTGATTTAGACTCCGGGTATTTTAGTGCTATACAAACTTCGAAATATAATATTCAAATTACAAGTTTTTAAACTTTTCTAAACGTTTATTTTTTTCAAACAATTTTTTTGCCGTTAACTTTGGAGTTTAATTCATTTTCCTTCTCGTTAAAACTTTTTCTTTTAAAAAAAAAAAAAAAAAAATATTAAAACATGTCAATACAATTTCTTTCAAAATTAATTCATAATTATATTGAATTATTAGACGCTAATGTGAAATTTTTTCGTGCACATATGAATATTTTGTGTTGCCGTTCTCCGTATTTACGGAAAGTTTTGATAAAAAGAATAGCGATAGTGTTTTAGATTGTCGAATATATCACCTGATATCTTTCAAATTATTTTAAGGTAAAATAAAAATTATATAACATCTTTATGAATTTACCATAATCTTAAACTGTTAAATTTTTGTTTATAATAAAGGTATATTTATGGCGGTGTCCTTTCATTGAATAAACTAGACACTTCGGATGTTCTTAAAGTCCTAATAGCTGCATCAAGAACTAATCGATTATTTACAAAATTATTTAATTGAAAATGAATCTCAATGGATGGAATTCAATTTACTTCTCTAACAGTAATTCAACAATTCTGTACGAATTTGATGGCAAGATCTCCGGATAAAATATTTAACTCAATTGATTTCACGTCAATTCCTGAAACATCTTTAGTTCAACTTATTAATTAAAAGTGATGATTTACAAATGGAAGAAATTGAAGTTTGGCAACATGTATTAAATGGGTATCGCACAAAATCCTACTCCTAATACTTGGTCTGATAATGACTTCAAGACAATGGAGAATACTTTACAACATTGCTTATCATTCATCAGATTTTTTTTATTGAATTCTCACAAAAAGTTCGCCAATATCAAAAATTATTTAAACGTCAATTTTATATTTGGAACCTAGAAATATTAAAGTTAACGATTCAAAAATTGTTAATAATTTGATTATTTCACATGATTGACAAGAGAGTTATTATAGATAAATTTTCTCAAATCAGAGAATTATATTTACCATATAAACTAGAATTGCTACTAAGACGAAGCCGAAACGGATTTACTACTAAAAAATTTCATACTTTATGTGATGATAAACCTAATACCGTCACATTTATTAAAGTAAATGGAACGAAAGAGATTATTGGTGGATATAATAACTCTTTAATATAAATTCTGATACGTGGGGAAATACGAAAGATAGCTTTATATTTTCTTTTATGAATGAGAATAAACTTTTTAAATATGCTATTAAGAAAATATATCTCGTGCAATAAGTAATTATTATAAACATGGTCCATGTTTTGGTATTGACCTTGTTATACGGTCAATTAATGAAGACACAAATACATAATTATAATACCTTTTACTATAAAAAGAATTATTATGAAAAAAGAATAAAGGATGAAGGTAATTTCTTAATAGAAGATTATGAAGTATATCAAATTATTAAAAATAGAAACGTAAATTTTAATTAAATTTGTATATTGTTAAATAAAAATTTTTTAATATTATGATAATGATAATTCACTCTGCTCTGTAATAAATTGAATTTAATAATTTTAAAATTATGAAATGCTTTTTTATATAACTAATAAAAAAAATATAGGATCATTTCTCATAAATCTGTTTTTGCTCATAACTTTTTATTTGACTTCTATTTTAAAAAGTTTATTTTTCGTTTATAGGAATATACAGCATACTGTTACCGTTCACCGACATCTAGTTTTATATATTTACATTTATCATTTATTAGAAAAGTAGAAGAAACTATTATTAATCAAATGAATCAACCTGCGCAAAATGCAGGTGCATAGAATATGAATAGACTATCAATAATTTTAAAATTTTACCGAGTTAAAGTAAAATTACATTATCATTACACCATCCTTTACGATCGAGAACAATTACAATTAATTCGATAATAGAATGTGATTAATATAAGAAAACAACAACAAGACGTTGCCCACTATTAAAACTTTTGAATAAAAGACAAAGTAGAAATAATTTCAATTGAGGCGTATGGTTATGAATGTGATGTTTTTGTGGCTGAAAATTGCATTTAAGAATGTGTCACCTGATTGGCTAATTTTTGCAGTTTTCCAGAATGAATTAGTGAACAGATAAGTATTTTATGCTACTAGATCGGTGAATCACGAATCAAACTAATTTCACGCTCTCCTTGGCTCTTTTGTTTCTTCTTTCCTGATCAGGATTATGTGTCAACTGAATTTATATAGTATAAATACCGATAGCATTAGATCAAACTGTCTTCTAAACTTTAAAACTTGCAATTAATTGATCTCCGTTGAATTCATTACCGTTTATATTTTGACTTGCAATTAATTGATCTCCGTTGAATTCATTACCGTTTATATTTTGACTTGCAAGTAAGACAATAATGATTAACTCTTAGTATGAGAATAACCATACACATAAAGTCATTCCGCATCTTGCATGGGATTCGCGAAGGCTCATTTAATATTAAAACATAAATAGTGTCATCCGCATTCTTTTAAGAGGTTTAGAGAGCGTGATATGCTATCAGCTATACTATTTGTATTATAGGGAATTTAATCGATTAATAACCGATATAATGATAAATTCACATTATCGATCAAATTTGGTCGATCAATTATACAGTGACACCTCTCTAAGTGCACCCCCCTTGGGACCATAGTAAAAAAATAGTAGAATGTGCACTTAGAGAGGGTGTGCATTTATAGAGAGTAAAATATTAAGAGCTCTTATAAGTTGGGACCAGGTCCACCGTGCACTTAAAGAGAATTTATATAGTGCGTGCACTTATAGAGGGTGCACTTATAGAGGTGCCGAAATTGCCGTTTTTGAAGTCGATCAAAATTTATCATCCATTTCATCCATTTTCACTTTTATTATTAAGAAATAAATCTTTAATTGCGATTCTTTTTTTTTTTTGTTTGGAGTTTGTTGTTTTTTAATCTACATCAGATTTTCGCGCCAAGTTCTATAAATCTAACCAAAGAATTTTACTATCAAATTATTAAAAAATTAAAATAGAATTTTTGTAATGAATTTTTTAATTTTTTTTTTGTACATTATTCCGAAAAAAAAATTTATTATGAAATCTATTTTTCAAAAATTATTATAGTCAATATTATTATACCTATAGTCAACTAAAATGTGAAATAGAATAATTTTTTTTATTATCGTAGTATAGAAAACAGTTACTATTTTTTATTGTAAGTGATAAATGATAATAAATTCTAGTTAATTTCCGAATATCCGATATATTATGACATCTGGTATATTATGACTACATATTCAAGATATCTCACCCAAGTTTTGTGGGCGTGGTTTTTTGTGACACGGGGGTGACAAATAAATTTTTGACACTAAAAAAAACTGTCCCTCAGATACTTTTGAACTCGTGGCTGCACGTGATCAGGTGACACTTAAATGTCACTTGTTCCTTATATGGTGAAGATCGACACAAATCGCGTCCACGAAACTTGAGTGCCAAGATATCTCACAATGACGTGTGACAATCACTTTTTATATATTTACGCGATGGAATGTTTGATATGAAAGTTTGTGATACTTCGGACTCAGAAAGTTTGATAAGCAACGAGTTTATAAAGAACCCTTTTGTATTCTCTTGTCTTTCAAAAAAAAATTATTTTATGCAAAATGTCTGATACAAAAATTTGCAATATAATTAAGTATCTCACTTTTACTGACAAGGATAAGACAAAACTACGCACTTACTTCTATAATAATCCCAGTGAAATAGATAGGATGGTTAATTTTCTTGATACTTGCGAAACGGCTGATGAAAAAGTTGACTTTAATAAGGAAACCTTCTTAAAGACTAGTATGTTCTAAAAAATAATGTGACTTAACTTTTTGATATTCAGTACACATTAACTAACTTTGCCTTTTCTGGTCTCCTAATCCGATTTAGATGAACATCAAGGTAAGCCTTTGCGTCGTAATGATTGGTCAACATGAACGTGATATCGCAACGTATTATTGTTTTATTCTTAGATAAAATTATTGCTGAATTACAACAAAAAATTGCTGACTTACAAAACCAAACAAAAATTAAAATTATGGACAAATTTCACAATGGTATGTATTTAATTATTTTAGGCAACCAAAATGAACCAATTGTGACTGATCAATATTTCGCTATTCCAAATTTCCAATAGGGTTACAATTTATAAAACTGAAACCGTTGCTTCATTGCACTGGCTTAGAATGGACTTATCAACCAGCCAAAACTTTGTATGAAGATCTATGATATGAACTCACAGAACATTATAAATATACCGATATACCTATTCCTTTTAGGTGCTGGCAAGAAATGCTGAAGAGTTCAATTGCATACCTTTCACTCATGATATTATCTAGTATAAGTTGTTAAAGGATTGCTAGAAATCGTTAAAAATGCTATAAATTGATAAATATGTCAGGGAATATTGTTAATAGACCTAGGCCTAATAAATGCATTGATATTATTTTAGACAAGGTTTATAATAACTCTGTGCCTAAACCCATCAATCTTTGTCCTGGAGTATATTAGAAACTGTTATGGTTTTCCTTATCCTAGTCAATTCGAAAAGATGGTTGAGGTTGAAAAAATAAATGATAATTTATCTATTATTAGTTCGTATGAAACTCCACAGCAATGGGCTATTCGTGTAAAAGACGATTTGCAAACATTGATTGCTGAAGGCTATAGAAGCTTTTATCATGTATTTTGCCTTTTCGGATCATTTGGGCAAGGAGTAACCAAAACATACTATAACATCTGGGCGGGAAGAGAACTTCCCATCAGTTATCACAGACCTAGTGTTCATAAAAGTCAGATGGCTATCTGTTTTAAATGCTGGAAATTGGTGAAGATCACTGAAGTAAAACCAAGAAAAATATATTTTGATGGATGGCGCAGATAGGCTATGAGATTAAGTCCGAAGATTTAATTAAGAATCATTGGGATAACTCTTGCTTCAAGGCTGAGACTGCAACCATAGCAAAGAATACTATACCAAGTGATCCAAATTTCGAGCCAGCTTGTATTCCACCAGCCAGGCAAGAAATGATTTCACTAACTTCTTATCAATCATCAAATTGTAGAAGTAATACAAGCGAAATATTTATCTCATCTCTGTATGCTAAACAAAATAATTTACTACCATCTATAAACCATCTTAATCGGCCAGTGTTAAAATTAGAAGATGGAACAGAAATCACAATTGTTTAGGAGGAATTTTCTGAGAATATTCTTAGTATTTTTCCTGGAATCTAGGTTTCGGCAAATTTTTTGGCTATTGTCTAGGCGGAAAGTTTTGCCAGAAACATATGGAATACCCAAACTTCTGGGAATAAATGGAATTTCTGAACTTCCAGGAATATTTTTTTTCCAGGAATTTTCCAAGACTATATTACTTACCCTATTCGAACACATGACCAGCCAATCACATTTCAACGAACACTATAAGAGTTTGCTTGACCAATTACCCCCATCCATGAAAAAAGATGTATGGTTGCGTCTTACAACTCGCAAAAATAATCCCCTATCTGAAGAACAGGCTCCCGTTGCTGAACACGAAGCTCACGTTCCTCTAACTGCTTTTCAAATCCATCCAGCCGGGAAAAAGTGGTGGATCCCTCTGGGATCACATTTGCTTCGATCTTAATTTTCTGGCGATCTTTTTTCTTATAGTACCTATTAACTTCCCTAGTGAGCAACTCTTTTATATCTGGACGAATTCCTCTAGAACAATATTAAGAAAACCATTGAGGCTCAGGTTGAGGAACGCAAACGTCTAAAAGATGAATATGATGCTCTTATGGCTCGCAAAGAGAGTGAATATAATAATTGTATGGTAGATATGAAGCAGAAAATATTTTCATTTAAGCATCAGCTAGAAGACCAGCATAAATCTCACTCTACCGACTTGGAGTGGCAATACAAATCTCAGATTACAACTTTAGAAAAATCTATAGTCGTAAAAGATAAGGAAATTGGCAAGTTGTCTGCTACTATCTCCCAACTTAAAAATGATAAGAAGGATGTCCTATTATGTATGGTTTATGCGCTGTAACATGATGTAGTTTTTTTTATTTTTTTTTTTGTTAATAAAAAAGGCATAACTTCTATGAAGTGATCGTAATGATTTAGATTTATAATACGATATCCTAATTCTAAACCTAATTCTAATCGAAATCGTAATCGTATTCCTAATCAATTTGTTAAATAACTTTTATACTGAAGGTGGTTATGATAAAGGTAAATTTTAATAATAGATAATAATTTATACATTTGTTGGTTTTTTTTCATATATTAAAAATAAAGGAAGATGAAAAAACAAAGCAAAATTAATTGGCTTCTATTAATAATGCAATCAATTATTTTAATAAAATTTATAATAATTTGTTAAGATCAATTGGAATAATACTTTTTTAATAATCATCTAATTTGTTGAGATCTATCGGAATAATATTTTATTTTACAAATAAATAAATATAATTATAAATATAAATATATAATATATGGGGAACCCCTGCTTGAGAACGATGGCTCTTATATATATATATTATTAAAAGGATTTCCCACCAAATAAAAAAAGGCAGCGGAAAATAAATTGAAATCAAAATATATTTTTAATTTGTTTTCAGTTTCTCAAGCTACAATCTTGATTTTATCAACAGACGTTCCAGAATTCTTAATAATGAATGTCCATACTTCGTCGCAAACATTGCAGAAACTTAATTTCCTTAATATGCAGTAACTGCGTGTTTACAATGCGGTTACTATTACATTATGTAGTTACTGTATGACTACGATGCAGTTACAATACAGTTACTGCATATTAAGGAAATTAAGTTCCTGTAATGAAAATCGATAAGTATGATGTTTTTTTTATTACATTTTCACACAAAATTGCTTTATTACTTTTTTGATTTCAATTTTACTGTTTTATTTGATATAAAATGTGGTAACTTTAAATAATATAATGATCTCACGAGAAGAATGTAAAAGAAATAAGTATCATATTCAACTTGTATGGTTTAAGCCAATACATCATTCCTTTTTTTTATTACGCTAAGATCGTAAGTCAATTTATTAAATAAACAGTATAAAACCATTGATACAAAAAATTACAAACTTTAAAGAACTACCGGCTCAATAGTAAAACCACCCAGACAACTTTGGCATATGCATATAAGCAATACATCATTAATTGTAATGTGGCGTAAAATTTAAGATATTAATTTAGCCATATCTGCACATCATTACTATATTCCACTCGTTGCGTAGGTTGTCATTGTAATAATATTATTGTAGAGGAGTAATTCCGCCTATAATGTACTAGAACACAATATATAGCATTATTTCTGTAACTATAAATAATTGATTCAATAAAGTTTAAGGGAGTCAATTACTATAAATCTTTCAACCCGATTTAAAAAAAATTTTTTTCCTTTACCGTAACACTTTTTTAAAAAAAAATTTAAAATGGCAACCCAATTTCTTCCAAAATTAAGTAAAAACTACATTGAATTATTGGAAAACGGTGAATATTACGATATCACAGTTGAAGTTGGAAAAGATCCTAATGTGAAATTTATTCGTGCGCATAAGAGTATTTTGTGTTCCCGCTCTCCACATTTACGAAGAGCTTTGACTTCAAAGAATGATGATAATGTTTTAGCCACTGAATTACCGAATATATCACCAGAAATTTTTCAAATTATTTTAAGGTTAAATTATATACATTTTTTAATAAATTTAATATATCATAATCTTTTAACTGTTTTTAAAAATATTTAAAATATAATATAGGTATATTTACGGCGGTATTCTTCCATTGAATGAATTAGAAGCTTCAGATGTTCTTAAGGTCCTACTAGCTGCAGATGAGCTTCTTCTTCAAGAACTAGTTGATTATTTACAAAATTATTTAATTGAAAATGAATCTCAATGGATTGAACAACATTTTGAACTTGTTCATAGAACGAGCTTTCAATTTACTTCTCTAACAGTAATTCAACAATTCTGTACGAATTTGATGGCAAAATCTCCAGATAAAATATTTAATTCACTTGATTTCACTTCAATACCTGAAAGATCTTTAGTTCAACTTATTAAAAGAGATGATTTACAAATGAATGAAATTGATGTTTGGGAACGTGTATTGAAATGGGGTATCGCACAAAATCCTACGCTTCTTGAAGATCCTAATACTTGGTCTGATAATGACTTCAAGACAATAGAAAATACTTTACAACATTGTTTACCATTTATTAGATTTTTTTGTTTATCATCTAAAGAGTTCTTGCAGAAAGTTCATCCTTATAAAAAACTCTTAAGATCTCAATTTTATGAAGAATTATTAAATTCTCAATTAGATCCTGATAGTAAACCAAATGATGATATTTCATTTCCTAGAAATATTGAAATTGATTCAAACATTGTTAATAATTTGATTATTTCACATATTTCTAAATGTATTGATAAAAAAGTTATTATAGATAACAAATTTGCTCAAATAAGAGAATTATATTTACCATATAAACTTGAATTGTTACTAAGAGGAAGTCGAGACGGATTTACTCCTAAAAGATTTCATGAATTATGTGATAATAAACCAAATACCGTCGTATTTATTAAAGTAAAAGAAACGGAAGAAATTATTGGTGGATATAATCCTTTAAAATGGGAAAATTCTGATACTTGGGGAAATACGAAAGATAGTTTTATATTTTCTTTTAAGAAGGAAAATATGTTTTTTAAAGATGTTATTATTAGTAAAATAGAAAATTTATCCAGGGCAATAAACAATTTCCCTTGTAATGGACCGTGCTTCGGTGACGATGTGTTTATGAATTCTACTGAAGAATCGGCGGATTATAGTATTATTAACTGTAAAAAGGTTGATTATGAGAAAAATTTAAGAGATACAGGAGAAAATTTCCAAATAGATGAATATGAAGTTTTCCAATTAACCAGATAAACCTTAAAATTACTTTCGTCAGGTTTTAGATCGAAAAGCTGGTCAGAATTACAAATAGTGTCAGCCGACGATCTTCATCTTCACGTGACTTGTTTTAGTACGGGACGACCAGGACGTCGGGACGATATCTTATATTGTATATCGACGTTTTTGGCTTTTGCCTACATTGTAATTCATCTCTACCTATGTTTCTCTTTATTTGTAATAAAGTAAAATAAAAAAATTTGATTTTATTTTTAACTCTCTACTTTTCACGTTGTTATTTGCCTTAATTTTAAAAGATATGAAATTGTTTTTGAATAAATACTATGTTTTTAATGTATATTTAATTTTTTTAATAATTTTAATTAATGGCGCTCTTTTACACATATAGTCTGAGAACTTTGAACGAACTAAATTATAAACTTTGGCTGACTAAGTAAAAATTATATTGTTCGGTTTTTTTATTTAACGTAAATGTTTGTATAAAGATTTTGCAAACGAAATACTAATTATACATCAAAACTTCATACTCGGATTTGATTATTTAACATTTTAAATTTTGTACTATATTAACTATATTGTATATAATTTTATTTTTTTTAGTAAAAGTGAAAGTCTTTATGTTTAATAAAGTATAGTACAAATAAATCAGCTTTTTAACTCTTTAATTTATTGTGTGTACATAAGCTTTAGAATTACTACAAAAGCCAGGAAAGAAAGAACTTTTGGAGGAATGCGCTAAAAAATCTTTTAATTTAACTGCATTAAAAGAGTGAAGAGGCCGGGGAGCCATTTGAAGACGAAGACGAAGTTTTAGGTATTTATTTATAATAACTAGAACACTTACAAAATCTCAATATACTAAAACATTATCTGTCAAACTTCTAGCATTAATAGAATATAAGGAAAGCTTGTAAGAATGGAGTTCCAGCAAGACAACTTGCCCGTAGCAACAAATAACTTCTTACGACCAATAACGGGAGGAGTTTTAGTAGACGTAAGAGATACACCATTAGGATTTAATTATTTATACAGGGCAATCGAATTATCCGATAATACAGGATATGACAATTCATTTTTCTTAAACTTTGCCCTAGAAGAGTGTTATAACCGCGATACAAGAATCTCAAAATCAGGGATTAGTTTTTACAGTAAAAACAGGAAACTGTAATAACGTACTAATAACGTACATATCAGACGAGTTTGCGTTCCTATATTGATTAATTACGCAAATAGTCCATTACCACCTGCACCAGCAGTAGTAATAAGAGGTCTTTTTCGACGAACAGCAGCAAATTTAATTGTTAACCAAGCACAAGTACCAAATCTCTTAAATAATTTACGAAGTCCTGTACCAATGCAGCAGCAGCCGCAGGAGGAGCATTGAATGCGAATTTTAATGTAGTAGCATTAAATTCTTCAAACCGAAGGACATATCTGAAGCATTCGGAATACGCTATATTCAATGGGTTAGGAGAAACACCCGAAACTAGAAGGGCCGAACGTATGAAATTTATAGGAGCATTAGCGGATCTGTTCACAACGGCTCGACCAGGAATTTGTGGGCAGCTTTTGGAGGAGGACAAGCAGGAACAGCAGCAGTAGGAGCAGTAAATACTACTCCCGGAAATGCAGCTGTTAACAATTATGCCCCATGGTCAATAGAAATACTAGGACCGTAGGACGAAACTTATTAACAACCAGCACTTGAATATTGGTATCTCCATGTAGAAGGAGACCATGAAGTCATCAATGATAATATGGGGGAGCGATATGACCAGTGTACCCACCACTTGCCTTAGGACAGTGGCAGCAGGAATAGGAGTAGCAGGATGTTGAACCTTTTACGATAATGTCATGTGATCATCATGTGCCGGTTCGGAATTGATCGAAAGTTTGACATGTTTAATATGATTGACATATCGAACATATCAAACATATAAAATATATTAGATATATTGGATATATTAAATTTGTCAAATATGTATAATTTGTTAAATATGTTAAACATGTTAAATTTATTAGTAACTTAGTATATGTATAATTTTATTATAAAATATAAATACAGGTCAATATTTTAGTAATAAGATTTCTTTCAGATAACAACAGATAACGATAGTTAATAAAGTTTTATTAAAAGTAATAAAAGGTTATCTCAATTATTGTTCAAGTGTACAGTTTATTTATGTGAAATCCTTTATTCGTGATTGGATGTATATGCAGACGTAAAGTGCTATACTACACATCTGATTGGATATTTCTCGATATACGGTGCCAATTGTTAGAAATTGAGGGACACTCAGATTGGTATAAACCAATCCAAGATATCATGAAGAAGAGGATATGTTAGAAATCCTCCACCAAATATCCTTGAGCGAGGACGACTTAGAGGTCGATCCAAGAAGAGGATAATCCGATAGCAGTTCCAAGCCTCCAACGCAACCAAATCAATTTACCTCTCGAAAACAGTGGGAGTTGGCCCTCATAGAACATCCGGAATGGTTCTCAGACGAACTAGCATATGATCCAGAGGTAATCCGAATGCGGGAGCATTTTACAACCTGGATTTGAACGATATCGATCATCAAGTGATCGAAGATATTATGAGACAACGTCTCGAAGCACTCCGTCCTCAACGCGCAGTTCCGAACCAAGCTGCACTAGACAATCAGCCGATCATAGTAGTCATAGACTGGTGTCGACCAGTCTCCACCTGTATCTTGATCCCTTGATGTTGATGGTCCCCAATAATGATCGGGGTCTTCTTGTGACCATTGGATAGTCAGGACCTTGGTATTCTTCCCTTCTTAGCCCCATATCGATTAGGCTTCTTTCTTTGTGATGGTGGCGAAGGTAGTTTCCCTACCTTTACTATGCCTTTATCAAGGCAAATTATTATATGTTGCCTTTTTATATCCTTGGCACCTAGTGAGATCCATATGCTTGATCCTACTATAACATGTGGTTTAGTTTTAAACGAGAGGAGACCCCACTTTACTTCTATTTCAGAAGTAAAGTATCCTTTGATGCGGTATATTGCTGGGAATCCATCCATGTTACCTTCCTCCTTCTTCCACTCTCTCAGTTGGTCGGCGAAGGCTGATGTGAGGTATGTTTCTTGTCGTTGTAGATCGAGGTGGAGGTTTACCGTTATTAATCAGTTGGTGAAATTATTAAAACCAAATCAGCTGGTAAGTCCATCTAATGTTCCATTTAATATTTATAATACCGAACTGTTCGAGTTCTCATGTTTTTTAACTTTAAGGAGCCGGAGGACATAACTCCCTAATAGCTTTTTTCAATGATCATACGGCTTATGTAAATTTTCCAAATAATGTAATTGTAATATAATACTATTAGAAACAATGTAATAGTAATATAAATTTTTTTAGTAACCTATTAGAAAATATAATATAAAATTAGCTTCACCTTTACTTATGTGACTTCAACTAAATGTATTTAGTGACCGGTGCTTTATAACAAAAATTATGTATGACTTGTCAAACAAAAATAACATACACTACGCCTTATAAAATTCTCTATGTATTCCAAAGTCCAAGAATGGATAACTTTGGTCTAACAATAATATCCGCTGTTTCTAATTTTTAATCGAACATATGTGTCAAAATGGTTGTATAAAATTTTGAATATTTGTTACGTGATGATTTTGAGATTAAAATTTTGGAAATATGCTACAAATCTACAGAGTCAGATCATATTCCCAATAAATTCTTGTTATTGGATATTGATGAATTAGATACTTGTTATTCCATGAATATCAATGAATAACTAAAATATCCACCGATGTCTTGGAGGAAGGGAGAAGTACATCTTACACTATCTCATTGTGTATTAGTACGATGGATTTATAGATTTTATACTTTATCTATACGGTAGAATTATTGACCATCGATGAACACATAGTACCGATGGGATCTCTAGGAAGTTCTATATGCTGTCGTTGCTGTGACTTCATTATGCTTGTTAACATACTTGTCGGATTAGAGTATATCCCTTGAAATTTGTTCAATTCTTTTCACTGATGATAGAATAATTTAAAAGTAATAGTAAACATTTTGTAAACAAAAAAAAAAAAATTATTAGTCTAAGTGTAACGAAGGACTATATATTTATACGCAAGTTGTTTTGCAATGTCCGGATGTCCGTCCGGCAAAAGTGTCATTTCTTGATATATAAAAAGAAAAAATAACAATGATATTTTTGCTTCGCATGTGACATTGTGCAACAAAAAAATGGCACTTCGGACTTAATAACGGTTTCCGTTTCCTAGTTTAGAAAGAAAAGCAGGCATTGAAATGTGGATCTAACCATATCTAAAGCAATTACATATAAGTAAACCGATTACAAAACGATCTTCAAAAAAAAAAGGTTTCATTTCCCTTTAACTGTTAAAATTTTTTTAAAAAAATAAACGAATAAATAAAATAAAATAAACCATGTCAACATTTTTTACGAAATTAAGTCAAAACTATATTGAATTATTGGAAAACAATGAATATTATGATATCACAATTGAAGTTGGAGAAGACCCTAATGTAAAATTTTTTCGTGCGCATATGAATATTTTGTGTTCCCGTTCTCCATATTTACGAAGAGCTTTGGTTTCAAATAAAAAGAATAATGATAATGGTATATCTCATTTTAAATTATCAGATATATCACCGGATACCTTTATGATTATTTTAAGGTAAGTTATAAAACATTTAATGAATTTAATATGTCCATAATTAATAAAAAAATATTTAAAATATAGGTATATTTATGGCGGTGTTCTTTCATTAAATGGACAAGACACTTTAGATGTTTTCAAGGTCCTACTAGCTGCAAATGAACTTCTTCTTCAAGAATTAGTTGATTATTTACAAAATTATTTAATTAATAATGAATCTCAATGGATGGAACAACATTTTGAACTTATTCATCGAACAAGCTTTCAATTTACTTCTTTAACAGAAATTCAACAATTCTGTACGAACTTGATGGCAAAGTCTCCACATAAAATATTTAAATCACTTGATTTCACTTCAATTCCTGAAACATCTTTAGTTCAAGTTATTAAAAGAGATGATTTACAAATGAAAGAAATTGATGTTTGGGAACATGTATTAAAATGGGGTATCGCACAAAATCCTACGCTTCTTGAAGATCCTAATACTTGGTCTGATAATGACTTCAAGACAATAGAAAATACTTTACAACATTGTTTATCATTTATTAGATTTTTTTGTTTATCATCTAAAGAGTTCTTACAGAAAGTTCATCCTTATAAAAAACTCTTAAGATCTCAATTTTATGAAGAATTATTAAATTCTCACTTAAATCCTGATAGCGAACCAAATGACAACATATCACTTCCTAGAAATATTTATAGTGATGAAAATCATGGAATTATTGATTCAACAATTGTTAATTTAAATATTGTTTCAATTATTTCAAGATGGATCGATAAAGTGGATGTTAATCATAAAGTTTCTCATTTAAGAGAATTTTATTTACCATATAAATTTAAATTGTTATTAAGAGGAAGCCGAGACGGATTTACTCCTAAAAAATTTCATACTTTGTGTGATAATAAATCAAATACTGTCACCTTTATTAAAGTAAAAGAGACGCAAAAGATTATTGGTGGATATAATCCTTTAAAATGGGAATCTTCCGAAACTTGGGGTGAAACTAAAGATAGTTTTATATTTACTTTTAACAACAAGAATAACCTCTTTAAAGATGCGATTATTAGTTATGTAAAAAATATATGTTTTGCAGCACTTAATAGCAAAGTCCGTGGGCCATATTTTGGCTATGATCTTATTATACGGGCTCCCAATGAGTCCTCAGACTATGATGAATTTCGCTGTAGAAATATTCATTATGAAAGAAGATTAAGAGATACCGAAGATACATTCTTAGCAGAAGATTATGAAGTATATCAAATTGTTAGGAAATAAACCTCATACAATAGAATAAAAATTAAATTAAATTAAAATTTTGTAATTAATTTCTTTCATCGATATTTAAAATGTTTAATTCTTAACAGACTTTAATAAATAAATGAATGAAATGCTTTTTTTATAAAGAAAAATTATTTAAAATTTTACCGAACTAATTCGCAGTTCGGAATACTTCAGATGATATTTTAACCACCATATCCAATAACTGTGTTGTCCGTATTTTTTTATTCCACGTTATTTATCATGTTATTTCCGTAAATGTATCATATTCACGGAATTTTTTACAGGAATGACATGGTATTAATAATTTTTTGAAGCGACTTCCAGGCGCTATGTTCACTTGTCTAAAAGCCAGAAAACTTTAATCTCCAACCTAGAAAATTAATAAGCGACCAATCTGATTCAACTTCCTCAAAGTAATTTTTCTTGGAATTATCTAGATATACAGAATAGAGTTATAATATCATAAAATAGTTAACGCGCAAAATTTGATACTCACAGTATACATTTGTGAGAAATTTTCCGATTTATATTGCTTTTATACTCTTTGTGAAGATATCAATTGTACGTACAGTCCTAAAAAAGTTGGATCAAAACATTAGTAATCCGGCATAGAGTTATTAGTCAATCATATGATCATGAACTTACAGTATGTATTCTCTTTTTTTTTTCAGAAAACACGATTTTTTCAACTTTCAATTCGTCATATACTGAAATCAAATACGTTTGTTTAGTAATTTAGTCAAATACTCAACCCATTTTTGAACCATATGGGAGAAACTATAAGAAAAGATCTTAGTATTGTTAAAAAACAAAATACTAATTTATTACTTCCATGATAGGAGCCACGGCAGCTAACCCTCATCCAGGAAAGCTAGTTTCTCCTTAAATATTCTTGGACGCCATTGACAAAATGTGTCTAGGCATCACGACAATAGACCCAAGCACCCAGGTTTTGTGGCGCGGTTTTTTGTATCACGGGGGTGACAAATAAATTTTTGACACTAAAAAAAAAACTAAGTCCCTCAGATACTTAATGTTTTTGAACTCGTGGCTGCACGCCACTTAAATGTCACTTGTTCCTTATATAGTGAAGATCGACACAAACCGCGCCCACAAAACCTGAGTGCTAGACGCAAGACCATAAGCAGAGGATTAAGACTCGTTGATTCCAAGCATTCATTTCGTTACATTAAGAAAAAGTGCGATGGCTTAATTAAAAAAACACGAGGCGCATAAATAATAAAGTAATAATAAATAGATGTTATATCATAACAATTTAAGCACTTCACTTCAAATTAGATAATAATTCTTGATTAATTTTACCGTAAAATTTTCATAAGCTGGTATTAATTTTTTGAGAAGCAACTTCCAGGCGTTATTTGCATGAAAAATCAGAAAACTTTGACTTCTAACCTAGGAAATTAATAAATGATTAATCTGACGGCTCAAGAATTTTTTCTTAGAATAGTTAACACACAAATTTCGATACTCACAGTGTACACTTAAGAAAAATTTATAAATAAAGTCGAGAGTAGTGTTTTTGTGTTCTTTGCGGAAATAATAGTAGATATTAGTCGCACAAATTGATCTGCGAGTTGTTGGAACTTTCTAGTATAATATGATAAAAAAATGAAAAAAAAGATAAAACAATAAAAAATAAAATATAGAAATAAAAATAAAATAAAAAAATACGAAAAAATGAACAAAAAATAATGAAAATGATATTAAATATATTAAATATGGACGTTCCGCGGCATCCCCATAAAAACTAAAAAGACAATTTTTCATAGATATTTAAGTTGTTCAGTTTTAACTTATCATGATAACAGAGTGAATTAAATCATCTATGTTAAAGCAGCTTGTTAAAAGGAAACGTTGTGATTTTTCCTATTGAAAAAAAAAAATATTTTTTTTTTTAACGTTATTTTATGAAATCTGAAAACTCAAAGGAAGGTCAATGTAAATGTACTTTTTTTTGTAACACAAACTAATACAATTACGCGTATTCCCTTACGCGTATTCCCTTAGTACTGTTCTCAAGCATCTTCTTCAATTTTGATCAGATAGTATCACAATCAATAACGATAGCTTGAGCATACCCTTTTATGATGAGTAAAAAAATATATTTTTTTTGAAAGTTTCAAGCATCAATAATTTTTTATATTGAAAAAACTCATTTTTGTTACGTAAAAATAAAATAATTTGAAATGATTGATCGGTTTCTATCAATTAAAGAAAAAAGTTGGTTTTTAGCTCGTTAGTTGTTCATCAAATGGGAAATTCTCCGAAACTCTTTGAAGCTTTCGGATATTTTTTTTTGGCCAATTCAGATCACTCATCAAGTCTATCGATTGAGGTGCTTGAGAACTTGGTTGTATAAATAAATTTTTCATAGGGGCGCATGTTATACTCATGTCGTAATTTACAAAAAATAGTACCACATTTTACTAAAACTTTAAAAAAATTTAGCTCACTCTTGCAATTAGAAGGTTAGAAATTTCTATCGTTATAAAGCCAAGATTAGTTCGTTGGAAAATAATTCGAGAGACCTTCCTATAAAAAAATTTCTAGGAAAAGCTCCGATAAATGAAATTTTTTATAGGGCACTAGTAATAAAATTATGACATGATACAAGTTATAAAATTCTATTTCAATAAATATCTGGGGATTGAATAAACTTTTTACGAATCCCTACCAAAAATGGCAGGTAGGTGAGAATTTCATGACTGGTTGTATTTCAAATACGGTGTTATTTAAGGGACCCGGTGACGGCCGACAGATAACATCAGAATTAAATAATCTTTCAATAATTGTATAACAAATATTAGGTGATGGCTTTGTACCGTATTTCTGTAACCTTAGTTGTACATGGATACCAAGAAAAAATGAGCACCTAAAGATATCGTAACAAGGAAATAAAATATAACGTATAACCAATTAAATTGTGCCCACGATTTATTTTGGATGAATATTACAAAAAATATAAACAAAAAAAGGTTTCATTCATTAATAAAGTTTATTAAATTATGCAAAACATAAACACGCAATAAAATGAACAGTGATTTAATTGCGCTTTTATTTGTTTGAATGTTTATTACACGTGATCGACAGGGGGCAGAAAAATTTGCGAATTTTTAAAATTTTTTTTTTTTTAAAAAAATATTTTTAAAAAAGTAACGGACGATTCGATACTTTTTTATTCTTTAAAATTCTTTTATTAAAAAAAAAGGCTTATTTACGAAAAATTAAACAGATTAAACTCGAATACTTCTCAAGTAATTTAATTTATTTATAATTATTTTTTTTCGTTTAATATATTATTATTATAGGTATTTACTACTCCCAGCTTAAGTTTTTTATTTTCACTTATTTTCTTATAATTGAACAAGAAATTTATCCCTGCAGCAAACAATGAATTATTAATTATTTAATTGACCTTAATTATGCATTTTATGCACTTGGAAATTCATAATGATGAAATATCGCCGAATTTGTAAATTCAAAATGAGAAAAAAATAGGGTTTTTTTTGCATGTGGAAGTTAAAATAGTTGTTCTGGATAGAATAGATTTACTGAAATAACAAAATAAAGTTATTGATACAAAATATTGTTCTCCTTATTAAGACTTTCTCTGCTTTCTTTGCAATTTTGTAATCATTGCGTAGTACTAATTTTAGAATGTTTGTGGTGCGCAGTGCACAAATTTTCCTTGTTTTTAAGGAAAAATAAAGATTTACAGTTTACAGATAAAAATTTGTAATTTGATAAATTTGATAACGACTAAATATTTTCCCATACATTTTAACTTAGGATTGGACTAAAGAAAAATAATTAAGCCATATCTTCCTATCATCTTTCAATTGGTGTTTCTGAAAATAGTACGAAATACAGCAAATTAAATAATATTTAATTGTTTCACAGAAGAAAATATCATTATTTTTATATTTTTTTGTTATTAATCATCCTTACTATCAAATATAAAAAATTCTTAAAAGCGAGGTTTATGGTTTTATATCAACCATTTAAAATTTTAAATAAATCATAAATGAATATGTTATTATATAAATAGTAATTAACGCCAACCCTTCTTAAACTGAAATTTAATTTACATTATCAATTGATGAATTTAATTTCCTCGCAATTTACTAGTTTGAGAAATTGAGATAAGTTAGAAAACATTCAACTCTAACATCCTGTAAAAAATATTTTAAGTAATAAAAAAGTATACATACTATGTTTGCTTCTTCAATTAATGTCTATACCCATAAATTCAAAGTCACTAAGCATCTCAAGGATTTTCATTAAAAATCGAACCTATAATTTAGCTGTATTCCGGAATTAATGCACTTTAGATGATGCACTATGTAACGTATCATTTATAAAGAATACTCTAGTCCTTTCTTTCATTTATTTCTTCGTTGTCAAGCAATGGATAACATTCCTTCTGGAAGCATAAGTCAACCTAGTGTATGTTTCAATACTTTAAAAAGCTATTTAGCTATTTGGGTATTTGTGTGCCAAAAATGCGCCGGCTATCGGAGTAATCGAGCGATTTAAGTCGGTCGGTTTGGTACATCAGTTCCAAATCGGCTTTGATAAATTTTGATATGTACTCACTTGGGTCTGGGTTGAAGTGACAAAACCCGATTATGGAACCGAACCGGTTGGACTCTGCTTGGCTCGTCCCCATCCCTAATCGGTCAATATTAAAATTAAAATTAAATAAAAATCCTGATCAATGACGCAAAGAACATTTTACAATCCTCACTCTTGCCGTCTCTTACTACTTCCCGCTCTTCCTTTTTACTCCTTTTGACTCTTAAACTTTTCACTCTCTTCGTCTCTAATTCTCCATGTAAAAATGTTGATACGTGTTTATATTTCCATGTTTTTTCCATGAATGTATCATTTTCATGAAATTTATAGCCTTAATATGGAAATTTTCATCTCTCTAACACTGATACCCATGAATGTATCATTTCACGGAATTTTTA